GATCAACTCACACTGCTCCTAATCATGCTTTTTTTGTAATAAAATTGCCCATGCGCTGATTCCACCATAGGGAACTAAACCTATGCTCAATTCACCATCCTTTGCGCATTATATATGCACATGAGAGCATCTACACTCGTATTGGGCAATCCGACCCCTCAAACGTCTAAACCTCAAAACCATGTGATTCATGCAACGCTACGGAAAACACATGATCCTGACGCAGTTCGTCGGATTAGCCGGAAAAAGGAACATGATTCATTGGAGTCCAACGGCGGACAATGCAAATCCATACTACAAACATAGATAAAATATAAACAAAACAAGGAAGGGCGGAGGAAATCACGATTTCCTCGCCGGCCCCTTCCACTTCCGGTTGTCGGCATGGTTGTGCCCCTCATCCATGTAGGCGTTGGCGTGCGGAGGCGCGTCATCCTCGGAGCCGGAGGTGGAGCCGTCCGTCATATCCGAGTCGGAGCTGCACCTCATGCCTGACAGCCTGCGGAGCAGGCGGTCCTGCTCCTTGGCATGGCGGGCCGCCTTCATCTTCGCCGCCGCCTCCTTTGTTGCCCCGCGCTCCGACAACTCGATGGCGAGTTGGAGCACCTTGGCATTCTTGCAGCGGAGGCGCCGTGCATCCGTCTCCGCCGTCGTGAGCGAGCGGCGGAGGACAGAAGCGAGGAGCGCTGCCTCGGGATCGACCAGCGTGCTCGCATGCGGATGGCGCACTGACATCAACTCGGACGCCGCTGCCCTCTCTCTCGCCCGCCGCCGCTCGCGCCGGGCTGCTCGTGCCTCCGACTCGGCCGTCCGTCGCCCTGTCGTGGGCACAAGGACCCAGCGGTGGCTGGGCACCACCTCCGGAGCTGAGGGTGCTGGTGGTGGGCGGCATACCTGGAGGAGCGGAGCGGAGTGGCCGGAGCTGCGCGCCAGGGGGAAGGGCCGATGACGTCGTCAATGCTGCGTCGACGGGCGCTGGGCGCTGACGAAGTGGATCTGCCGCTGTCGGATCCGCCTTGGTCGACGAACGAACGCCTCATTGTGATGCGGAGGGTGACCTCCTCCACATCGTCGGGGTCCGCTTCACGCAGCAGGGTAGACCAGTCATCGTCGGAGCCGGATTCCCAACCGGAGGTAGCACTACTTTGAAGGGGATCGGAAGTGGAGTGGACGAAGAGGGGGGGTTGTTCTGATTGGCTGCAGTCTAGAGTTTTTCGGACGACGTTATTTGTGGGGCAGCCGTGGGCCAGACTGGGTCAAGTCGACATGGCGGGTGGGCCTAAACGCGCCCGGACCACCCTATTATTGGGCTGGATATGAGGGTGCCGGTTAGCCCGGTCGTTTGAGGAAAAACCAGTCTGGGTTCAAATTCTATGACCGGGCAGTGACTGGGCGGCCTGCTCAGGCGTTTGAGACGGGTTTGAGAGGTCCGTAGATGCTGTGACTACTTATATTCAAATGTTTCGCAACTTTTTTAAAGTTTTGCATTGGCCTTTACAATGCGTAACCTGATCGAAGCAGGAGGGCAGGACCGAACACGTCTGCACTGAATCTGAAAGTCGTGCCGTCCTTCACCTCGTCATATATGGTGGCCATGCCGCAAGCCCAGCAGTGCCCACAACGGCAAGGCGACCCCCGGCACGCCCAAGAGCCGGCGCACGCGTACGGCGTCGTCCCTCGTCCCCGAGGGCTCATCGATGCCGACACCATAGTAGCCAGGCGGCCACGAGTAAATTGCACAGAAGTACCACAATTGGGGCATTGAAAGCAGATTGGTACCAAGTTTGGTAATTTTTACATGTCAGTACCAAGTCTGGGGCTATACATTACAAAAAGGTCTAAATCACGTATAAACGCGTATTGACAGTGTATCTGACCGGCGGGGCCCGCCTGTCAGCTGCCGACGTGGCAATTTTTTTGCAGAAAACCCCCCGCACCTCCTTCGTCCTCACGCGCGGCGGCGCTCGATCTGGATCGAGGGGAGGAGCCCCTCGAGCCCGAGCTCCTTCGCCTCGGTCTCGATTTGGCTTGGAACATGCAGGAGATGGACCGGTCGAGCGAGGAGAATGTGAAGATCGTCGAGATGGACAGCGGCGAGCAGCCAGCGCGGCGCGGCGGGGCGAAGGGCGGCGACAGGCAGTTCTCCTCCATCGAGTACCACCACGGCGGCAGGTGCTCGCCGGCGCCGTCGGCCATGACAGAGCTGAGCCCGAGGGCGAGCAGCTGGCACGTGGAGGACCACCTGTCCTTCGGGACGGCGCACAGCAGCCCGCACTCCCACTCCCACAACGCGACGGCGGCCATGGCGGAGCCAGCGGCGTCGGACTTGCCGTTCCCGAGCTACATGAGCAACACCGAGTCGTCGAGGGCCAAGGCGCGGTCCCAGAGCGCGCCGAGGCAGCGCGCGGCCGCGGAGGCGCTGGAGCGGCAACCGAGCAGGAGGAAGGGGGCGGAGCACAGGAGCGTGCCGCGGGGCGCCAGGATGCAGCGGTCGTCGTCGCAGCAGCAGGCCGGGTCGGCGCCGCGCCAGTCGCCCTTCTTCCACCGGCCGTGGTCGTCGTCGACGTCGGTGAGGCTGGACACGTCGACGGCGTCGCTCAAGGATAGCGAGTGCGGGTCCACCACCAGCTCCGTGGTCACCGCGGCCACCACCGTGTCCACCGTCTACAGCCGGACCCGCTCGCTCGTCGGATTCGAGGAGAGGAGCTCGGGCTCGAGGGGATCCTCCCCTCGATCCAGACCGGGCGCCGCCGTGCGGGGGTTTTCTGCAAAAAAAAAATGCCACGTCGGCAGCTGACAGGCGGGCCCCGCCGGTCAGATACACTGTCAATACGCGTTTATACGCGATTTAGACCTTTTTGTAACGTATAGCCCCAGATTTGGTACTGACATGTAAAAATTACCAAACTTGGTACCAATCTGCTTCCAATGTCTCAATTGTGATACTTCTGTGCAATTTACTCGGCGGCCACACGTGACCTCCCGCGTACGTACGTACCACCTCGAAAGCGAAAGACGGCTGGTGCAAGAGTTTGAATCGATCCGGTTCCGGTGGGCGCAGCAGACTGACAAACCAACTCTCGTCACGTCAGTTCCTTGATGAGATGCGGCTACCTTCCATAAATCATGCATGTGCCATGGTACTACGCACCGCTCACAACTTGCACAGATTTGTCCTTCCGCGGTATCTAAGGCACAAATATGTAAATGGATGCCTGCTCCAAAATGGTGAACGCTTAAAACTGAGGCTCAGTTGTTCTACTGTGCTCGGTTAATCAAATCATCATGAAAAATAGTACTATAAGGTCAGGTGGTGTCTACTATGAAGGTGGAGTTAGAGCATCTCTAGCTGACCCTTGATGTACTTTTTTTTAAATAAAACTTTGTATCTATTCATTTTCAATCATAACAGTACAATAAACATCAGAAATAATAAAACTTGCATTTATACCCTAGACCACCTAGCGACGACTATAAACACCGAAGCGAGTCGAAGAGGCGTCGCTATCATCGCCCCTTCCTTACCGGAGCCACGCAAAACATGCTATAGCAGACCCCCTATGTATTCTAAAAGTCCAAAATCTCCCCTAATATAAAGTCGATTTTTCTAGGGATTAAAGTTTTGTTTATCCAACAAATACATAAAAGTTAATCTTCTAAGAAAATTGAAACATAATTTTTTGTACACAAACTCATTTCAAACACTAATTTAAACTAGCTAATTGCATAATTGAACAACCCTACCACACCATACATAGTATAATTATTAAACCCGTGCCTACAACATTTGCATCATACACAGCATAATTAGACATCGAACTAGCCCAAGTGTGGACATAAAACGCGGAGACAGGGATCACCCCCCCCCCCCAGCAGCAATAACAAAGCATCAACAATTAGTGGATTCGTGGTGAGTACTTCCCCATGTACACAACTTAATTTAGAAAAATAAAATACTCAAACACTAGATTGAGTTCAAAATTATTTAAAAAAAAGAGATTGGGAGATCAAAAGTGGCTCAAGCTTTAACAAGAAATGGTGTGATGCGGTTGGAGCAGGTGGCCATGAAGTTTTTTACCCAACATGGGTGGCAGCATAATCTCCGGATCAGTCCACCACATCCTTTG